TGCATTATCGATATAACTTTGAAGTTGAAGCTACCCCGTCGCTGCCAAGTATCTGCATACATGCACGTAAAAAATGCATACAAACTGGCACAAGGACTCACACAGATACAGGGCAGTACGACGGTGGTGTGAGTGCCGGGCATTAACCTGCTTGTGGATGGTTGGAGGATGCCTCAAGTTACCCGGTTCCTCGATTTCTCAACCCTTCAAGACAGGGGGTTCTTATTTAATTTACGGAAGTGCAAACGCCTGCACAAAAACTTAAACGACGACGACGTGGCTGGGAATTTTCATATCAAATATCAAGTGTTGAAATATTGTTAGCTGTTTTGTAGTTGTATCTGGCGATGGCATTGTTTGTATTCTGGCCGTAACACAGAGTGAATCACTAGTAGTACGTAGATTCGTTTTTTTTTTTCGCAATCGGCCAAGCAAACAATAAAACGCAACGATAACGCTGAAAGTGAAGCACAGGTGGGTCTCTGTGTTGGTAAATACAAGCGTATCTGTATCTGTATCTGTATCTGGGCAGGTGTTGTTGTTGTTGGCTTAATCTCACTCTGGTTTACAGTTATGCTCCAGTTGATGACGTTGCCGTGGCAACTTGTTGCGGCTTCTACCGCTCGCCCTTCATTTCACTATCTAATCGCGATTTTCCAACCAACCAGTCACCAGTAACCGTCCATAACCATAACCATTTCCATTTCAATTTTTATGCCAATGTTTTTCACTCACAAAACTTTCTTAGCCAACGCCCCGAAAACTTAACAAAATAACAGCCAAACAAAAAAAAAAAAAACATTCAACACGCGAGAAAAAACGTAACGCAACTGAAAATGACCGTTTTTGAGTCACAAGCCCAGGTAGTAGCCCAGGTAGTGTAATAACGTTAAAAAAACGAGCCAAGAGCCGTCTCCTCTCTCTCACCCACACTCTCGCACTTTCGGCTTTGTTAACACTCACACAGAACAGGTATATGTAGTATGTGTTACCAACAATTCGAGCCAAAACCAACACACACACCTGGCTCGAAACGCGCGCAGCTCGAAACGCTCCCAAACCGACGAAAAAACTGGAAACCGACTATCGAGGAGCGTCTGACTCTTTCGAACGCTGACACCGAACTGACTGACTGAAATATAACCATGGGGGCTTGAACAGGCCGGGAGTCATACTACGCCAGAGCGGGAGAACCCAGCGTGGGTGAGAGTCGGTCTTTAGCAGGTTACCCTCTCATAGTTATAGTTGCTTTATTCCGGAGGAGATCTGGCTCAAGGGCATATCAGGAAGGGTATTATAAATGTGGTAAGGGACATGCCATCAACCCCATATAGTTACATTAATGGTTAGAGTTTATAATAATCACATATGGTTAATCATCTTTCAAGAGATCTCTCAGAATTTTGAATCTTTTAAATGTCTTTAAAAAACATTTCGAAGAAGAGCTCCAATATGGAAATTGGATTTCGTTATAAAATAAATTTCCTAAATCATAAATCTATTTAAAACTACTTATCCAGGCATGGTATCTGACCCCTTCTGGAGGGCGACAAGTGCTCCACTTATGCCTCTCCAATTAATATTATTTTTAAGGGATAGGTCATAAATTATATACATTTTTAATTAGATCCAGATCCCTTGAAACTCTATCTTTACAATACATCCAATATCGTATTTAATGCTTAACATGCATTATTTAAAAAATAAAACTCTTTAATTTAAATGGTTTTCTTTGCCTTAAGCAGCATTTAACTTAATTTTTCCTTTGGCCTAATTGACTTAAGCACTTCATTAATAAAGAAAGGGTCAAAATTGTAAACAGAGCGTGTCCGCGTTCAAGTGTTTTAATTGCTTCCCGCATCTTTGACATCGGAAGCATCGTCTTCGTCGTCGGATAATTGAAATTAGCAGCTACGCCCATCCCTGGACAGACTCAATATGTGGGGGTCAAAATGTGAACCGATCTCCAATTGCTTTCTTGTCTTCAGTGACTGGGTACTGGGACAAAGCATGAATCACAACCCATCATCTTGGCTGCCTCTCGGTATATAATAGACATTGATTAGAAATTATGCAAAGTACAATTCACTTTTGTGATGCAAAATTTCTAATTACTGAATCTTTGAAAGCGGAAATTGTGTACATTTTTGTCCTACATACCTAAGCTTTAGTTAAAGTAAAAATATAGCTAATTTAATGATTAAGATTATAGTTATAATTCAAGAAATTCTAAATAACTTTTTGTTCAAATTTCGAATAAATATGCTGATAAATACGCATCCAAGTGAAACTGTGCTAGACGGTTTACTGTTGCTGATTATACTTGAAATAATCATACAAATCCATATAATTAGAACAAGAAATTTTAAAATTGCCGCCCAAAACGGGCAACGTTGCCAGATATGCAGATTTTTTTCCACCAGTCACGCAGATTTATCGATGCATCGTTTTCCATCCAAGTTTCTCCACCACTAATTGTGGAGCTCCTTGCATTGATTTTGTAAATAAACGCTACACAGGAGTTCGAAAACTACACAAACATTGAGCCATGGAGCCGCCAACAACTGGCGGGATCAGCTCTGCCTCAAACGTCGGAAACAGCTCTACCCACAAGTTCCACCCATGCGATGAGGCCGTGATAGCCACCAACGACGATGCCAGTGATTGCAAACGGTGTGCGGTGCGACTGGGCTACTGGAAGGACGACTATATTGGGTACTTTGTGCGGAATCAGGAGCGAAAAGCACCAGAGATCAACCGTGGTTACTTTGCCCGCGTCAAGGGGGTAGAGATGTGCGTCGAGAAGTTCCTGAAGGTCAGTCTGGGCAAGTGGGCAGAGGGGGTGGCAAGGACAGTGCAAAGGCGTCGAAGCGTCTGGCATGTGCAAAGGTCGAATCGACCTCCTGTTGCACTGTCCAAGGACAGCTCCAAGGCCACCGATGCGCATGCTTGCGCTGGAGAGGATGGCCTTGTCGGGAAACTCATAGGCATGCATTTTTATTGCAGAAAACGTCGGGAAACTGCCAGATCATCAACCTGGGCTGCGGCTTCGACACCCTCTACTTCCGCCTGAGGGACACCGCCCACCAAGTGAAGAACTTTATCGAGTTGGACTTCCCCACGGTCACTGCCCGCAAGTGCTACACAATCAAACGCAACAAGGCCCTGCTGGCAAAGATCCATGACGAGGATGGCGAGGTACGGCTCAGCCCTACCGATCTACATGGACCCAGCTACCACTTAATGGGCGTAGATCTGCGCAATCTCGACGAGGTCGACAGTAAGCTGCAGCAGGCCGAAGTGGACTACACCCTGCCCACAATCTTCCTTGCCGAGTGCGTACTCGTCTATATCGAGGCGCAAAACTGTCGCAATCTCCTACAATGGATAGCGCAAAAGTTTCAGGCCGCGGTCTTTGTCAACTATGAACAGGTAACATATCTGTTATAAAATATTATATTATATAGTTATCATATAACCTGCTAAAATCGTCGTAATGTTAATTAAAATTTGTAATCGTCTTAGGTAAACATGAATGACCGGTTCGGCGAAGTAATGCTCAACAACCTGCGGGGACGGGGATGCAGTCTGGCCGGGGTCGAGTCCTGCTTGTCGCTAGAAACCCAGCGAAACCGCTTCAAGGATAGCGGTTGGAGCGGAGCACGCGCCTGGGACATGGTGCAAGTGTATGAGAGCATCTCAGCGGCGGAGCGACAGCGTATCGAGCGGCTTGAGATGCTCGACGAGGGCGAGCTCCTCTTGCAGCTTTTTCAACATTATTGCCTGGTTGTTGCCTGGCTGGGACTGGCCTTTCAGGACATAGATATCACGTGCGTGCCAGTGTAAAAATTCGTATCTAATTCGCAATCTTTTTCCCTTTTCCGCAATATTAACAAATGTCATATCTCTACTTTTTTTTTCTAAAACAGGGTAGAGGAGCTAATGTCCTCGCTGAATATTGACTAAGAAGAGGAACGAGCCTATGAACGATGGAGGTGGAGACCAAACCACATTAACGCATCATTTATTGTCTCTTTAATATGCTGGAAAGGCTATGCCAAAAGTTTTTGCTTAACGTGTTAAATTAAAAAAGGAATATTCAAAAAATCTGAACGTATTCAAATATTTATCCCGCATACAGACCCACCCACAACAACATTAATTTGTAAATTATGTATTGTTCCTTAAGCGATTTCCTTGTTAAACTATTTATATTCATAAATCTTTTTGCTTATTCTTAGAAAACTAATTCATCACCAACGAGTTGTGCATAAAAGCAATGGCGAAAACTATTAATGAATGACTAATTCATTGGCCATACGTTTTTTTCATTCCCCCATTTATGTGTGCGTTGATAAAGTGTAAATGTATTTGAAATTAATTAAAACTAAATGTAATTGGAAGAAACACTTTCGAAGTCTTTATAATTTGTGTACATGGTTGAAAGTATTCAGCTGAAATGTGTAAAGGTCAAGCTTTACAAAACGGGGGTTAAATTTTCTGGGGACTACTATTGAAAATTGTGAGAAAGAAAGGCAGGACGATGGAGCACACTACGAAGGCTTTATCTTGGCCAATATTTATCCTATTGTTAAGCGGAATACCTCAAACGATTTGTAGATCGATTCTCTTTCAATCTGCATCAAAACTTAGCAACGAAATATTTTTTAGATTTTTTATTAAAATTTCTGGTGGGTCCCCTTCAAAATGGTGGAAAATACAAGAGGGCACAGTATGGCCCACTGCAAACGTTGTTTCTTGGCCAATTTTTATCCGATTGTTGAGCGGAATATCTTAAACGATTTGTAGATCGATTGTCTATTATTCTGCATCAAAACCTACCAAGGAAATATTTATTAGATATTTTCTTTAATTTTCTGGAGGATATTTCCTCAAAATTCTGAAACTAAACATAAAAATGAAGGTAAATAAAAGCAGTAATTGAATGTATGTATATTACAATTTATTTAAAAAATGAATTAAAATGTAAATCAGAGTTGGTTTAATAAAAGCGTATGTAAGAATCATCTCATAATATAGAACAACAACAATATATTTATCATTCACTTTACGTGGAATGTTTACGAGTCTTGGGCCGATTCCTGATCGTTCCAATTATCAATAGTAAAGTAGGAATTTAGGTGGAGCTCATCATCCAATTCGGGTTCGCCCAGAACCAGAGGACCCAACTGCTTTTCTACCATGACATTCTCCCAAAAATCTTTGAGGTGCTTTGTAAGTGTCGTCTTCTTGATGTCCTCGGCGAACTTTTCGTATTCCACAAAAGCGTTAAACTCTAAACAGCTCTGTCTGTAGAGGCCGATTAATTCGGCCAAGAGTTCTAAGTTCAGGTTCTTTCGTTCCAACAGGGCGATGATGACCACGCGCATTTGGGCTGAAAGGGCTTGAAAACGGGCATCCTTCTCGGTGGCGTTGGTATGGGATCGAACGATTTCCAGAATGCGTTTAAAGTCTGCGGCAGGATTGGATAGACCCACCAACTCTTCAGGCATCGTAATATTCTTTTCAACAGGCTCTGGCTTCACAAATTTGGATTCCTCCTCCTGTTCCTTGGCTTTTAGCTTCTCCAGCCAGGCACGACTGTAGCGGAGTGGAAAGAGGTGTTTTACGTTGGCAGCTGCCTGCTTGGACTTCTCTTCGAGAGGCTCTGGCACGGACCAGAACACTTCAGCGAAACTCTTATCTTTCAACAGTTTCTGGAACTGCTCTTCGTTTTCGTCCTGGTTCTTCCGGAGCACCCGGTGCAGTAGCACGTCCATCAAGTTCTGTTCAAAAATACTGGGCAGTCCGTCGAATGGTAGCAGATCGTTCTGAGGCCAGGGCCTTGGTTGTTGGTTGTCCCGCAGCGAGCACTCTAGATCGGAGCTGTCGATCAAACGATCGATTGCTTGTAACTGATCTTCGCTGCACTCTGTCTTGGTGGTTCGCAAAGCGGGAAAATCCCAGAAGTGGTGCTGGCCCGAGTAAGATACTTCTAGCATAAATAGCGAGGCCGGGTTCACATCATCCGCCAACCGAGGCAGCAGTACCACCATTCGCGGCGTATTAAGCTCTTTACTATAAATCTTCCAGCAGAGAATGGCACGATCGGAGGCAACCAGAGCACGCACCAGGGCATCAAGTTTCTTGGCGGAGGTGGTGTTTTCCTTTTGGTGTACCAGCAGGTACAGCGAGTCACCGCAAAAATACTCGTCTGGAACAGAGTCGCGCTTGATGAACCCGAAAAAGTGAAGTCCCGGCGGATGCGGTACCTTCGCCTCCAGCAAGGCATCGTCGTACGGCACCGGTGTGCCGCCAAGCATATATCCAGCCACCAGGTCCTCTGGTAGCGGCTTCACTTCGGTGCCCTTCAGAAAGTACCGGGTTTCGCGAGTTACCACCTCATTATCCGCAGCCCAGACTTTCTCCAGTTTAACCGGTGTTTGGTTCTTCATGGCAATCATGCCCTGCAACTGAATGCTGATCGTGCTGCCAATGTGCAGCTTGGCGTTCCACACCCAGGGTCGCCGATTGGTTATTTTGAATACGGATCGTAATGCCTCCTTGAAGCTGCACAGGGTTGCGTTGCAGCGTGGCACCAGGTTAAGGGCGTACTTCTGATTTTCCAGCTCGTGGGGTCCACACTTTCGGGAAAAGTTGAAAATGGACTGCGGCGTTCCGGTCTCGGCATTATCGATATAGGATACGTTGTGGGAGCTGAAGAGAAGCACTACAGAATATGGCATTTTGTGGCTGTGAAACTGCTTACCCCACAATGAGTTCAATGCCTGCTTCGAGCAGGTTGTCCGTGATGGTGTTGAACTTATTGTAGTCCTGCGGCATATTATTGAAGTCGAACAGCAGGAGTATCCTTTGCCTCTGAGGCTTCAACCTGGATAAGAAAGGGATCAATATTTTTGAAGCATTCCTGGTGGTCCACACTCACGCCAAACCCTTCTCCTGCAGAGCCAGTGCGACGTTTAATCCTTCAAGCCACTCACCCTCTTCAGATGCGGTTTCGTTTACGAATTTAAAGAGCTTCAACAAAAGGTCCCAGTTGCAAAGTTGCGGGTCCCCGAACTCCACTATGTTGGGAGCATTTAAAGAGTTTTCGGTGCGGTCACATCCCACCAGGACAAAGGACACGTGGTCCTTGCGGTCGCAGACGATCTGTTAAACACTGGTTAGCAAAGTCCTTGCAGATTTAGAACTCAATATTTACTTTATCCTTCAGAATCTCTGCGACACATTTGACGGATTTCAGCTTAACATCCTCGGCAGCGCTGAGTCGGATATCCAGCACGATGATTAGGCACTCCTGATCACAGAAACATGACTTTAGCTCTAGATAGGTGAAATTAGTGACATTCTTACCTTATTAGACGCCATAGATTGCGATTATTTACGAAAAACTACAATTCAAAATAAGCCGGAGCAGATATTTCACAACAATAAGACCAGTTTTTCGGCAGCCCTGAAATCCCGCCACAGAGTAAGGTTTGTAGCAAGCAGCTTTAAGTTGAGAGCATTTTCGCGTTGCCAACTAATGGGAAATATTTGCCAATTGTTTTTATATTATACATTTTTAAGGCCTTTTATTTAAATATATTAATGTTATTATTTTATATTTGTGTATATTTATTTATACTATTATAAATGTAAGGTTATATTTATATAACTTATTGTTATACGTTTCTACATATCCATGTAAATAAACTTCAAAAATTTCGGGACATTTCAAAATTTTTGAAATGCCTTTTGAATGATTTAATGTTTATTTTAAATAAATTTTTTTAATAACATTAGTAGACTTATGATATTTTAACCACTTATTTTAAACTTTGCCTCTGATAAGCTATTTAGTTATGACAACAAACAAAACAATAATTAAATGATTAAAACATTTTTTTAAAATTATAGCTTCTCATATTTCTGTAACTTTTCCAAATATTCAGCATTTTGCAACAAATGATTAAATATTAGATCTGTGTCGAGAACATTTGTGGCAGGACCACCATATTCCGCCGGTAGGTTCTCGTAGCCAACCATATCCCGGAGTTTGCCCAAATGGCGTCCATCGTGGGTGAAGATCTGCAGTTATTCAAAATAAATAATAAAAAAAGATTTAAAATAATTTAAATATTTACTCTTTCTTTAAATTCCTTGTTCATGAAGGGCATGAAGAGTGTGGATGTGACGTGCATAAGAAATCCTCGTTGAATAATGTGGACAATACGCTGACTGAAGGGTACGACTCCGTTTTTTTCATTAACGACTTTCATAAACGTGGGGGAAAACTGTCTCAAAAAATTTCGAGTGGTTCTGTTTAAAAATAATCATAAAAAATATTAAAAATTTTGATTTTTAATTATTGTCTCACCCCTGCAGATCACAAATGACTGTAATGCCTTTTTCCTGGACCCGTGGCAGCAGAAGCAAGGACTCGAAGATGAGGTCGTCCATCTCGACGAGACTTTGCAGATAATCTGGAAACCGCTGGAATCCATCTACGGTCTTGAAGATGACCAGAACCCGTCCATCCCGGTCCACGTGGGGCATCACAAAACGGCAGTGGGTGCCATAAAAAGGGGGCGGTAGTGCTCAATGGAATGACGGGCCAACCAAGTTGGATGGCGTTTCTTAAACTCATAGTAGGCGTGGATGGCCTGGTATGCCTTTATTGTATCCCACCGGGTATAGTGTAGGAACTTGGTTAGCAATGTGTCCTCCGTTCCTACACATAGTTCATCGCATTCTAGAAGAGAATGTCTGAGTGTTTTCATTTCAAGAGGGATCCTCCTTAACAAGATGATCTTACTTTCCACCAATTGCCTCAATTGTTTGATTTTAAAAATCTCTTCATCTGTATGGTCGAGCCGGGAAGTTAGGAACAACATATTATTCTATTATATAAATTCTACAAATAATAACTTTAGTTAATTATAAATTTTCAAAATCAATCCGTTGTGATCCGCACTCGAAACGCGATCGTTTCTCACTGACTAACTGACTTTTGAAATAGGTTTTTTGGGATGTGGATTGTTTTTGTTTATATACATATCGTACGCGTTGGAATTATTAATAGCCGTTAATTATTGGGAATCGCTCGATTTTGTCAACTTGAACTTGGCTCGAGACAGGCCTAAGTGTTTTAACTGTGGGTATATCTAATATATAAGTTATAAATACATTTAAGCTGTCAGATATATAAAAATTGGTGGATAAGTTTAAGGGTGGAAGATAGAAAAGCCCTTTACCAAATAACACTTTTGAAAGAGCCACAAGTTTCTGTCACCGAGACCTAACCACGTATTCTACCCACAATTCATTTAACCCGAAAGACAGAAAAAAGAAGAGGAGCCAGCGAAGAAAAAGTCTAGTCGAAAAGTAGTCGGACGCAACGCGAAAGGAAACTATAAGTACGATAATTGAAGAAAATGTCAGCTACACACGATGCTACGTGACTTAATAATGCCCCTTGTCTGTTCATAATAACAGCCACATCGTCCGCCCCACCCCCACATCCAACCCACAGTTTCTAGCAATTTCATCATTTTCCATTTCATTAGGGTTTATTGATTGTCTTAGAAAAGTTTAGCTGGCCAAGAAAAACTGTACAGTCTTTTAATTACTAAAATACGAACGCATTCAGAGCGAGAAGGCTGGATGGGCATCCATCAAAGGCAGTCACCATAAACGAACAAAATAAGTCGTGACTGTGATTAAAATGACGAAATTAACATTGCACTATGAGTGTCTAATAGATAGAAATAGATTTATTTTCATTGGTATGGCTCTGTAACTGCCCAATACACATCTGCATCGAAATGATGAATGCTTCGAAAACGGTATTAAACGGGGTTATGGAATATAGTCGGCCGATCCCATTTATTCCAACTGATTAACCTGAAGAAAAGAAAATCCTGATCAAAGATGTGTATACTTTATGGTATATATCACTGCGTAACTTATAATATTTTGTACTGCTATGTATTTGACCCGTTTTGATAAGGGTTTTATTAAGTCATAAAATAAATAAGTATAAATATGTTATTATATGGCCAGGTTGTAAATATGTATAAATTATTCCTAAGAACTGGCAATCGTAGTTTTGGACAAATATGTAAAAAATATGTTTTTTTTAGACTTTCTTATCAGTATTTGGAAGGCAACAGAAAAGTATAAAAACCCCGCCGCAAACAGGCTGATGGATTAGTTCTTTTTCGTTTTATACAAATTGGTCGCAAAATTAATTCATCAAACTATAATACAAAATAATACTTGAAATATGTACTCGTGGCTAATAGGGATTTTGATCCTTCCATATGTGTTCTCTACCAACGACGATGGGTAAGTTGAAACAAAGAAAATATTCTAACTATTTTATTGAATTATACGACGAATATTTGTATACACAAATATTATAATTCAATTTGTTATACATTAAAAAAACAAAAACTACCAATATATGGAAAAAAAATTATATGTGATGCAAAAAAAACTGTAAATTCTAAATGATTTTGGAAGAGCCGAAGAGTGTCTTTTTAAATGCAACCCAATAATAAAATAGCTCATAATAATAATTTTTATATACTTTCTTGCAAACTTCTGGAAAATCAAAAACAAAAAATGATAAGAACTTTAACTTTTACTAATAAGACTAGAACAAATGACTAACATTTTAATCTGAATTTTCAAGAGTTTCATAAATCATTTTCAAAATAATTCACTTTTTATTCTTATCAATTATTTTTTAGCATATACTCAGTTATGGTTCCTGACACTATAAAATCAAACATGACCTTCAATGTGGCTGTTTCCCTGCACAGTGCCAGTGGAGACTGTAATATCGTTGCCACTCTAAGTGGCCCCTCGTATCAAAAGACCGAGAGGATTCAAATCCAGCCCATGACCACAAAGGTTATTCCTTTCGAAGTGGAACAACTGCCTGAAGGTGATTATCAGCTCACCGTAGAAGGGTCAGGTAGTGTCGAGTTCAAAAAATTTGCGAAGCTAAAAACCGTCGTCGAGAAGCCCTCGATCTATGTCCAGACTGATAAAGCTACCTACAAGCCTGGAGATCTCGTTCAGTTCCGAGTACTCTTTTTAGATAGATATATGAAAGCCCCCACAATTCAAAAGCCTATTACCATATCCATCGCCGATGGAGCTCAAAACCGAATCCAGCAATGGACCGACATCAAACCAGTTAAGGGAGTATTCTCGGGAGAGCTCCAGCTCTCTGATCAGCCTGTACTGGGCACCTGGCAGCTTACTGTCTCGATTCAGAACGAAACCTTGGAGAAGAAATCCTTCGAGGTAGACAAATACGTGCTGCCCAAGTTTCAAGTGATTGTCAAGACAGAAGAGAACATATTGGCTACCGCTGGAAATATCAAAGCATCAATCACAGCCAAAATATACATTTGGCAAGGGCGGTCAAGGGAATGGCCACCATATCCATCGAAGGGAGCTCTCAGGCACATACTATCGACATCAACGGCAAGGTCAGTTTAGAGATTCCATTCGTCGCCAGTATGAAATCACCCTTGAAGGTCGTGGCACTGGTCACCGAGGACCTCACTGGCATCAGTCAGAACGGGTCCGCTTATGTAACCCTCCACCAGTACCGATACCGACTGGAGTCCTACGAATGGCCAACCATTTTTAGCCCACAACAGGAGCTTAACTTTCCCGTTGTGGTTAAGAATTTAAATGATTCGGCCGTTACTGGTTTGGAAAGTAATGTCAGCTACACCTTCTCCTGCTGCGGTATGAAACGCTTTACCGAAGCGCCGATCAGAAACGGCATAGCCACCGTAGCGATGCTAATGCCCGACTTAAGATGCAGGGTTTGCCACGTAATTGCTACTTTAGAGAACTCAGCGAGTCTAAGAGAATCAATTTGTAAAGAACAAAAATCTTTTCGGCTTGAGATTAACAATTCAAAGTGAGTATTCTTGGGATTCATTCTCGAGCTTATCTTAAATTAATTTTTGTATTTAGACGTCCCAAGTTGAATGAAAGACTACAATTTAATGTGGTATCCGAAAGACCTATTGCGAGGTTTTTGCTCACGATCGTCGCAAGGGGTAATATCTTATACAACTCCTACATTAAAATGAAATCGAACACGAGGAATAGGACTGTAAAGATGACCGTTTCATTCCGCATGATTCCGGAAGCCACGTTCTATGTCTACAGCTTCGAGGGCGAGGAAATGAGAATGGATATGAAGACAGTCACTTTTGAGAAGGATTTCGGCAACTCGGTATGTATTCTGAATGATTCGTCTTTTCGATTTATTATTTTTTTTTATAACTTTTCAGATTCAAATAGCAGATCAATGTGTTCTACTACTCCGAGGTGGAAACGACCTGAGTCGGGAGAATATATTTAGTGATCTTGGCACTCACGGAACTTCTGGCCTTATAATTTTAACGAACGCAAGATTAAAAAGCGATATTATCTATGGTAAGTCTTACAGAACGCAAAAGAAACTCTAAAATTCTAAGTTAATTTAATCTTTTTTTCAGAGGACTGCCATGATGGAGGTGAGTTTTGTTATTTGACTTTAAGAAATTATGAATAAAATTTATGAATAATATAAATTATGAATAATTTAAACACATTGTATGAAATATCTCTAAAAAATAGGCGACATCGTGATTCCTGCTCGTTCTCCGTCATCAACCTCTTCTGAAACATTTAATCCAATACACCGAAACCACTTTTCGGAGACTTGCCTCTTCGAAAATTTAACCGAGTAAGAAAATAATTTTTAACTATCCACGAACTATAACGGGGACCAGGTTGTGTATAATTTCATATAATTCGACAATTTGAAGCCTCATCAACCGATCTGCGTCACAGTAATAGCAGCCAGACTCCAAGTGGTGGCACAGCAAAAACCCTCCTATGTCAAGCTATACGATTACTATGACACGAGCCTCAGTACCGTGGAGTACTACGATGTTGGAGCCTCCTTTTGCGACATCTGCAAGGGCGCCGACTGCGGAAAAGAATGTTAAATATTATGTTTCGTAGCGTTTTTCCTAAAAGGATTATACCCAAATAAAACCAATATTCGTAAAGGTGTGCAACGCAAGGAGCCAACATCCTTTGTTTTATTCCTCAAATATTATTCATGTTGTTCGAAATAGAATTGGATTAAGGATTTTAATTTTAAAATTCCCCGTCACGCATTAGGTGCTCATTAATCCATTCACGATTCTTTGTAACGTTAGCAAAAACGGGTTGGTTTTTCTCGCCGGTCATGTAGCTCCATATTCCCACTACAAAGTATTGGTTCCTCTCGTTGGGACAGATAAGAGGTGATCCCATAAAATTATAGCGCCTGGAGAGGCTGACACTTGACTTGATGCTTCCATCCCAATCACTTTTAGAAGTCTTTGTGGTGTCTACGTCCATCTTAAAAACAATATTTCTTTCTGGCGGAAATTTAGCATATTTAAATACATTCCATCCTACGGCAATGCAGCTAGTGTTAAGTATCGAGGTGCCAAGATCATCGTATTTGCAAACGGGAACTATGTGCCTTGTACGCGGAAAGGCGCTCTCCAGGATCGCCAATGCTAAATTGTATAGGAAATCTGACAATATAAACTTTTTATGCACAATGGTTTTCTTGACTAAGCGATCTTCGTGCGGGACTATCTCGTTGTCCGTTAGAAGGTCCCAGTCGCCAGCCCTCACTATCATGGTCTCATTTGGAGGAAAACAGGAAGCTGCCGACAGAACCACCGTGTGACTTATCAGGACACCGTTGCATATGGGATTCGATGCCGAGTCCAGAATGGCTACCACGAAGGGATACTCCGCAAAGCTAGTCTCGTTGCCACTGCTTTTCACAGTCATATAAAGGCCTTCCACATTGGTAATCCCGCACTGATTATTTGCTGAATTGACTTCACGTGGAGATGGCTGGAAAATCAAAAAAATTAGTTTTAAAAAATTTATCAAATTATAAAATTTTTTAACTAACTTTAAAATATGTAAAAATATTTCTTTTTTACAACAAAAAAAAATATATGTAAAAATATATATATATTTTGTCGAACTTAAGCATATAAGGTTTTTTTTTACAATAGTGCTTACGGATTTTTTTATTTCGCTTTCTTCGCAGCAAGTTTCCAAATAATGGCACAGGTAGTTTTCGGGTCTATCTAATTCAATGATTATTTTTCCAGTACGACTTCCACACTCTTCGTGTTTTACACAGTATTTAGTGAATCCACACGGCTTTCTTATATATATCGGTACTTCAATGGTTGTGGTTGTGTTTGTGGTTATGTTTGTTGATAAAGGATCAGTTCCAATATCGTCGTAGACTTCTTCATTGTTTTCTTCGTATTCATCAAATCTAATATTATCAGTGGGAGTCGTAGTGAGTGGGCTGGTTGTCAATGTGGATAGGGTTAAGGTTGTTGATGCATCATCTTTATTTCCGAAAGAAAGTCTGAAAAGATTCACGTTTAATAAAATTAATAGCGACACAACTTGGATTTTAGCATTGCTCATTTTTTTTAGCTAAAATTTTAATTTTTCTTAAAAAAAACAATGAAACAAGTCGAAACGAGAGATTGAAGACGACTGATTTTCATTCAAATTTTAAAAGATTAAACAAGAGAACACTAGACACAGTAAAGCTTGGCCCCGATTTAAATTAATATACAAAAGAAATATTGATAATATACTACAAAAAATAAGTGGGGTTCATTCTAAAATTATAAAATGGTGCGCCTATTAGGTGGCCCAAGGAACCTGACGAACCATAAATTAGGGTATAACACATTGAATATATGGTATTAATATTGGACAATGTAGGTTAATGCACATATTATGCCACCGTACTTCTTAATAGAGTCTACATATTTTTAAAAGAATGTCCCTATTAACAGAATTATGAATATACATTATTTTGAGTCATCCCTGTTTCATTATCAGCGGCTGATAACGCTTACGAGTTTGTCTCATGTTTCTGTGTTTTTTCAATTGTTGACATCAGTTTCATTTTGGCTCTCCACATAGTATAATGAATTTAATATTATGTATGTCTGTCTCTATAGGTACATAATCCGCTATCTTGGCAGAGTGTCAAGTCGAGTATAACTTTGTGAAACAATTCGTATGCAGTCATAAAGAAGACTTCCCATAGGTATTCCCCACAGGATGCGAGGCCTATGAGCCAATCGGGATGAACTTTTCTGGATCTTACCGAGAATTTGGATCCACTTCGCAATATATGTAATTTTTAAATAAAACATTGGATTACCCTTATTGAAATAAATAACATTTCAGTCTCCCGTCACGAAATGGCTCGATTTTAATTATTCGCCCATGTTTTGTACATTAATAACCACAAAATTTGGACCCACTTTTTGATTTTAAACATTCGATGTAATTTAAATTAGTCTCTTTTGCCAACGTGACTTTTTGTAATTATCCAAAATCTATAAATAATGCATTTAATTTGAATGTTAAATAATAAACATTTGGTTTTGCGGTCGGGTTTCATATTCTGAGTAGCCGGCATTGTTTGCAGGCTGATTAAATTGTGGTTACCTGGATTGATGCCGCATTTGGCAGTAATCAAGTAGCATTCATTTTTACAATGAGTGCGTGTTTATTAGGAAACCCCAAATATAGAGTCGGTTTACTAAAGTGTATAGATAGCTACTAGATAGAAATTATCCATATAAGCAAATTCGCTAGGAGGTAGCTACCTATTTAATTTTTATTTGAAAAAGGACATTTAGAAAAAAAATAAGAAATAGGAACAAATCTTTACTAACAAAGTACCTATAAGATTGCAATGTAAAAGTATGTATGAAATCCTACCAATGCCTATAATTTACAGCACCGCCCAATGTCCTTCGGCTTACTTAACCAATGTTGAGTAACAAACAAAATGCAAAGAAAACAAAAGTGGGTTGGAATCCCCAACCTCATCTTACAATCCCCCTCTAATGCATTGGAGTCCGAAGGACTCTGGGCAACAGGGAACAAATTACAAGTGTTGTAAAGTGTCATTTTTCAACAGGACCCATGACGAGCGGTCAGGGGGTAGGTGAACGCAATGTAGAAATAATCATAATGGCCGAGCGCATATTTGAGACGAAATCTTGCGTGGAAATGTTGTAGAAACAATAGCAACGAGCGCACAAAAACGATGCAAAAAAGAAAGGAAGAAAAATGTGAGGAAATTTCGCCGCCACAAGAAATGACCGAGAAACCAGAGGGTAAGGCGAAAGCTTTCAGAAAAAAAAAAAAAAACTAAACCAAATTCCAATTTGTCAGGAATTTGTTCAATTTTAGTTTTGCGAAGGCGAGGACGGGATAAGCGGTCGCTGGCCCGGTCCCGGACTCAGACCGGATACCGAAAACCCTACCCACACCCCGCCACTGACCATCTGCATGCCCCACACGTGCCGCCATGCAAAACCATAAGAAGCATAACGGGCAACCCCCCGAACCACACCGCCCAGCCCCTCTGCCATTGTGGCACTCTGGCAGTGGCCATTAAAGAGCTGCCACGACAAATCGCACACATTTAACACGCACACACAGTGAACCCGGGGCGATGGGGGAGGACCCCTGTGGGGGAAAAAACTGCACACTTAACAGGCCCACAAAAAACCGTCAGGGGAAACAGCTGTTCGCAATGGCTCAAACAACGTCTCCCAAAGAAGCCAATCGCTAGAGATGGGAGCTGGTTAGAAACGGAAATGGGGCTTATCACTTCCGGCATATGTATTTCTTTAAGAAATGCTATGCTATTTTGCAACATTTAGGACTCTGTTTAGAAAATATTATCTAATATACACTATAGATTTTTTTAAGCTTTCACGTTTTCATCTCAATCCGTTGCCAACAATCAGTTTTCTTTTGCTTGGGGCCTCCCCTAATGACATTTGTATGCCACTGCAGACATGTGCAACTGTCGGGCCCAAAATACACAGCTTTAACAACCTTGGCCAAGGGATCTTTTGTGCTTTTCATTAGCAGGACAGCTTGGCAATTTGCATTGTCTGGTGTAAGAAATAGGCCTGCCTTTCTGGACGGCCAATATCCTATATCTAGTCTCGTTAAACCGAAAAACAATTGTTAGATTATATTTTTCAAATGCTTACATTTAGCCACGGGACAAATTGTCTCCCCAAACAGTTGATAAATATTTGCCAACAAGAAACTTAAGGAAAAAAAATTAGAAAAACGCAAAAACCACTCAATTTTTTGTTGTCTTCGTGAACTGTTGTGTCTGCGAACGCAACAGAAAAGGAGATTTTTGTTATTCTCCCCCAGGCAACATCATATTCGCAGCACCATTCCAACTCCCCGATGGATTTGTGGCTTGGGGAGGAGCTTACTAAATCTGCCGGTGCTGGGGCTGGTGCTTCGAGAGTTTTAATTGAATTTTGAGTGGAGTATTTAGGGATTTGTTATTTATAATAGAAAGAGCACACAGCCCGGGGAGCTGACGCAAATGGAATTGGCAACGTCCGATGTGCAGTGTCATGAAAATATATGGTACCAGACTTTTCATTCTTATGATTTTTTCAAAGTTTTTAAACCACAGATAAAGTAACACGGTATTTACTCACAGAATTTTAAAGGAACATTTATTGGTCGAAATGAATTAGAGTTCGGGGTTTGTAAAAACGAATTGGATATTACTCAGATGGCCCATCAAACAAAAGAAGAATTATTTGAAAACTCTTGGTAACTGAATCCAAACCATAGAAGGCCAGGCTCCAGATCTCCATTATGAGATGTATCCAGGTAAGATACACCGAAATGATTTCAATTTGACGACGGAAAGTCAAAGTGGCCAAATCAAGTCCAGCATCCTTAAAAAGTTGGTACAAGTTTTTGTTGGAAAATTTCATAATCAAAAAGTCCTAAGATTTTAAAATTTATTGAAGTAGTATTGAAGTTGTTATTAGAGGCCAACTAAGGTATGGGTGTGAAAATAATATATTTTCACTTTTACCGAATAAAAAAGGTTAAAAAAAAGTGTATCTTAGATAATTGGATCTCAGATAAGTGGATCTAAGTGGATCTCTTATTTAAATTCTTATTTCTTAAAAGAATATGGTTAACAAATTTATTCGCTGTTCAGAAACAAATGACTTAGTATTATTGTTTGGTTCTTGTTCGGAATTGTGTTATAAAAAGCAATTTGTTAACGCCATAAAAGCTTGACCTCGTTGTTCTTTTTTCGTTTTTTGTTGGATGGTTTTTTTTTTTTTATTATAGTCGATGACCAATTTGAAAAGCAATATGTGGGAGGAAGCCTGGCGGTTATTCGAGCTCCCAATCATCGGGCATGAGACCAGTCAACTCGTTCGCTCGTTCGCTCCGCTGGCCGCCCCAGCTTGTGGATGGCTCGAATTTACAGCAGCTATTTATTTTTGGCCAGCATTTGCGGCACATGTCGCATGGATGGGCTTGGAGTGGCTCTGGCTTTGTTTTCCTTTTACGAGTGTGAGTGCATTTGTTGTTCATTTCATTTAAATTACCCTGTGGCCGACCTCCTTGTCACAACATGTCGGTGGCGTCATATTGGGAACTGTTTGGTATCCCGCAATTCGCAATCGAATACTCATTGACCTTTTTTTTTCCCTTCAGATTTGGCTTTTATTTCTATTTTGTTGTTTTTGTATTGTGGGTTATTGTGGTTTTTTAATCAAGTTGTATGTGAACAAATTTTTGGCAAACGTATAGTGGTTCGAATGTATTGTATTTGAGGGGAAAAAAGTACATTGTACGCAGAATCAAAACAACCAAAAGGGTAAAACGAAATTAATACCTTGAAAATAGATATTATTTTGAAAAATCTGTTAAAGTCCTTGTCAGGTAAGTGTTTTCTTTTTAGGAGTAAGGCCAAAACTTCCGAACTTATTTTTAGAAAAAGTTGAAAGAGGATTAAAGGATCTGTTGTTAGCTGAGCTACTACCAATAAGATACAGACAGAAAACACTCTCTCGTATATGTTTATTTGTTTGCATATACCGGCACTTAAGAGCTCGTATATATTTTTTTGGCTCAAATGTGTAAAAAGGCATGAGCATAATACATTTTACGACTGCGTTATGTGTCTGCCAAAGTATGGAAAATTATTATTTTTCTGTCTGTCTGGCTGTGTGTGTGTGTTTGTAAGCTTTAAACCTATTTCTGGCTGTCAGAGAAAAAGGGAAAGATGTACGACATTTTATTATATTTAAATTACACAAAGCATTAAATATAATTCACTCACCACGCTCCATTTACTAAGGCTATACGAGGCAAACGATGGCATTACTGTCTGCGCATATAAGTATGCAACAACAATGTGCCGTTGAAAATCGCTGTAATACTTTTTCATCAATTATATGATGCGCAAAAATATATATGCTGAGATTTACAATATCAAACATGGCTCACACAGACACACTCATACACAAATGTCCTGCCACAGCTTTGAGCACATACACAAACACACTCATAGACTGGCACACACTTAAAGAAGCACAGATATACGCCGACATGCTCTAGATGGCAAACGCGTCATACTTTACTACTTACTAAATCCATTACAAAGTATTTACGTAGAAAATTGCTTTATATCTCTGCATATCTCTCGGCCGACGTCATCGTCTTCGTTGTCCTCCGCTGTGCGCACATTTATGTATTCGTATGATTATGGGAGTTCCTACAGCTAAAGAAAAAAAATTTAAGTACGTGGAAATAATAGTAAGGGGAAAAAAACCTTTTTTAGTTATGTTCCTTGGTACTCGCTTGGTAAATTCCTCGAAGGAACTTCTAAGGTAGTCGACTTAAGCCCAGCTCAGAAACAACAACACATTGATGGCAAAAAGGCAGTCTGCAGCAATTTATATGATTTTTTCCCCCTTAAATGTCAGTGGCAAATAAGAAAATATTAAAATAGATTTGTGAACGAACGATGAAGGCAAAGACAATGGCTGAGTAGCTACACTGAGGATTTAAATGGAAGACAAAGTCGACAGGCAATTTTATAAGATTATACTCCTAAAATAGCCTTTTCAAAGATCCAAATAAGTATAAATTATAAACTGTTTCATCTAGAAGAGATTAACTTTCTTTTTCCCTGTTACTAACCTATGATTTTTCTTAGTCTATTGTTTATCCAAAACCACAAAACATATACATGAAATTTTGCTTAGTAAACATTTTTTCTTCGAGTCTACTTCATGGGTAGCTATCGTCAGTTCTATGATTTCCATTGCCAAGATGTTGGCGGTAAATCACAGCCAGTTTTTCTCAGCCTTCAGCCCACTTACACACATACTACATGTATCCTACACACAGAGTCATAAAAAATGAAGGCAAAAGTATGCCAAAAGTAAGAAGCTATGTGTGTAATTCATAGAGGATTTGTGTGAGGGAGGGAATTATTCATGCGGACATGATTGTGCTCACAACAATGGAGTTGATCGCAATCAGCGTCGCCCGTCATCATTTTCATCAACTTCTAGAGCCCCATCTCACATATTATACTAGTATTTATGCACGTTATACTTTAGGTTAAAGATTAAATTCTTGAATACTTTGCCAGGTATTTTCAACTTATAATTGCAGGCAAACAAAAATAAGTAAAGTGAAAATGTATAAGAAATAAATTTGTCGTGCAGCGGTGCAAAATGGCAAACGCTGCTGCCTCGAATTGCACTACGAATCACTCTAGCGTGCTATCAATTACTGTGGCAAGTGTTGCACGTGCCACAGACACCGATCCTGCCCCTTTTGCCTTACCCTTGGCCACTATCTAAGTCCTTGGTCCTTCTATCCATTCAGGACAGCTTGCTCATCTCATTGTGTTCCTTGGCATTTGCTCGCCTGGCTTTCCTTTCCAATTTTTTCTATTTTGTATACTCTGGTCGAAGGAGTATTATCCTTCTGATGCAGTCTTTGATATTTAACCATAAATTAAGATCTTGAATTCGTATTTCTTTTTAAACTTTTATGCTTGTTTGAAACTTACTAATTTACCTAAAAATTTTACGAAAATATGGACTAGGGTATATGGGATTCGCTTCCATCTGAATATAAACTTTCCTTCGCCATTTTTTTTTTCTAATTTCTTGTCGCACTTTGGTCGTTGTCTTGGCTGCTTTTTAGTCCAACATTCTGTAAGTGCCATGAACATCGTTGCATTTTCTTGACAATTTCTTTACTTTTTCAGCTTTTCTATTCCCTGCTTTTTGAGGGCTTTCAATTGTTGCACAATTTTTTAATTTTCTGTGTGGCCAAGGAAATGAAAGAGTTGCCATTGCTAAAGGAATTTTCATTTAAGGTGGCAATGCAACATATAGTAATGTCTTGTCGAATTATCCTGTTTATATGCCATTAAAATGGATATTAGATTTCAAATCTCAAAATGTTCTCTACATGTACTTATTTGGGTATTCAATTAACCACAAATGAGCAAACAATTTTCACATTCTCTTATTTGGCCAAGTAAAATCACAATAACTCTGTTGGCCACAAAACAAAACAAACTTCAGAACGAACTCCTGTTCGAGGGTGAGAGCTCCGTATGGGAATTGTTCGGCTTTTGAATAAATTGCAATTTAATTGTATGCAATTTGCCGTCGGGCTTAATGCATAATATCGTAAAAGGACATTGTCCTAAGCCTTCGTAATAAGCCTAACCCCCAAAGCTGGTGTTATTATAATTCGAATACCTCTGAGCTTTGAAGGAATATGGGAAATTTAAAGTTTTGGGTAAAGTGTTTGTGTTTGATAGTAGATGACTGTAGATCTTCTAAATATTGTGCAAGAAATTATCAAATTTGAATTGTAAGCTTTGCTGAGAATATTTTGAAACCAAATTAAACAGAACGCTAACCAAAATTCGTCCTCACACAAGTTTGCCTTTCGTATTAAATGACAAAATGTAATAAGCATTAAATTTCGATGCAACCTGTAAACTGGCAAGATGGAAACACGCAGCCTGACAGCCCAATGCAATTACATTGTAATTACAAGCCACAGCCGGAGAAGGTTTTAAATTTTGTATGTGCTGAGCAAATGTCTAAATGCAATAGCGCTCCCGAAAAGGATTACGAGCAGGATGAGGCGACGTTGCACTTAAGCTGAAGCTTTTGCCATAAACATCCGATATGAGTTGGCTCTCAATGTCTGTGTTGCAATAAAATTACGCTTGAAATGTGGCACGTAATTGTCGGGCCTCTTAGTCGCTTTGTCTTTCTAGTTCTCTAATTGCCGCAAGTGCCTGGTCCTTTGCATGGTTTTAATTAGAATTAGGGCTCTAAGCCGGTGTTTTGATTCTTTAAGCGTCCTCCACATGTGCTCAGTAAATACACTTATGGTATTCCCTAGCCTCTGACCCGCTTCTCCTAATTAGCCAACTCAGATATCCGGAGATGTTTGGTAATCAAAAGTTAGTATGGCCTATAGCTGTAAATTAATTTCCTGGTTACGTTATGCAGCAATTGCAGTTTCCAGGCTCAATTACAGCAAACTTGCTGCAATGCATAAATTTCCAGTACACACGGACCGGGGCCAGGAATCAATGATTAATTTTATGTGGTTTCCAGTTCGATATTAGTTGAAATAGGAGAAGGGCTTCGAGGGCTGTGTGCTGCTAGCCGGGCTCCTTCTTTAATTAGGTCTGCAAGCAGAAGGATGCCGATGGAAAGATGGTTACTAATAATAATACCAAAGTACCCAGTCTTAATATGTATAATGAAACTTATGTAAAGCCTCTTAGGATTTTAAAGCTTTTAAGGGAAATCATTGCTCTTAAAAGTGACTTCTCACGGAAGCCCCGGAGACAAGGCAATGCCCTCTGTTAGGTTTCACACTCATCCGAAATCCGGATATTCCAATTGATAAAAACATGGCTCAAAGAACGCCCAGATCATTAAAAAGCAGAATGTGTGACATTGTGTCAGGCATAATAATAAAATTACAATTGCAGCCCGGCGACAAACAATCGAGGGGAAATGTGCAAAATCAGCGAAAAAAAATCGGTGGGGCGTCTCTCAAGGAAATGTCAAATCAAATTTATTGACTTCCATTGTTTGGCGAAAAAAAAAAAAATGTGGAGGCAGTGACTCCTACTCCAAGTCTCCGGGACTCATTGAAATGTGAAAAGCCAATGACAGGGGACGAAGTGACATCGATGTGCACCTTTTTTTTTGTGCGCTTCTGTCTCGCAGAATCCTGCCGGGATTCGCCTTGTGGCACTTGTCGATTTGTCCTGCACTTTTCCTATTCGTATTTGTGCGCGATTAAAGAGCCGCTTAGCACGTTCGAATGCCTTCCAAAAGGTCCGGAGACAATCAGCGAAGCTCCATTCTTCTGCAGGAATTTAACACACAGAAAAATACAGGGCTGTTACCCAAAGATTACGATGCTATTGATTGCCAGGATAAGCAGTGAGTATTTCTTTCTGTGTATTCTCTGTTGATTTTGCACAATGCCTGCCGGCAGCGCTATAAAAATCATATGCTTGCCTTCATGGCAAGGGGTTGCCTTTAGTTTTTTGCAGCATCGTCTTTAGTTGACTTCCTTTGTTGGCCAGCTAAGTTTGACAATTATTTGCATTGTTCAGTGAAGTCGTTTGTTCAACATGCACATGAATCGGTAACTACAACATAAGTGACTCCATGGTTATGGCTTCCCATCGGGATAGTTGGGTCCTTTCGAAAATCCCTTTCTATTGTGCGCTATCCTTTGAATTTGTTGGGTGCGGAAAACGAAGTTAATACTGCTTCTACAAAAAGTGAGCAAACGATTAAATGGAGTAGAAAATGTTTGGTGAATGATTTGGGTTACTTTGTGTAGGATTAAAGAAACCTCTAGGCTAATCTTATGTACCTCTGGACATAACATTATTATTTTTCATATAAGTAGAAAACAAGAAAGGAAAGAATTCTTCTGCAAATATTGGATGTAGTTGCCCATAGAAACTTCATTTTCAAAATAATTTCTTGTAATACAAATTTTGAAGAAAATCTTGAGCCTTCAAAATACAATAGTTATCGAATTTACGATAAATCAGTTACATGTGTATATAGAAGCTACAACAAAATTACAACATAAAAAATTAAAACAACAAAAAAATAAAAAAAAAAAAAAAATAATAAATAAATAAATTATTAGTTTCCCGATTTTTTGGGCCTGCTTAACTGCAAACTATGAGAATCGAGGAGGAGAGCGTTTTTTTTAATTAATTTTTTTTTTAAATTTTATTGAATAGGTACCTAATTAAATCATTTTCTGGAATGTTATCAGACGAAAAAGAACGGTAAACGTTGACCCTTCATTATTCGACTTCTAGGGGCCCTTACAAGTAGGCAATGGGAATATAATGTATGTAATTAGAAATTATAGATTTTTAACTGAGAGGCTGGTTTGGTTATACCAAGAAGCCTGATCAAGAATATATGTACATCTATAATTTATAGGGTGGGAGCTGTCTCCTTCACTGCGTTGCACACTTTTTAACAATATTAAAATCCCCTTTGCAAAGGGTATAAAAATCACTTCATAAAGTCAGTGGCTGTTAGACAGCAGCCACCAATTTTTCTCACACGAATATTCAAAATAAATGTTCTTCGCTTGACCCGAGAGCCTGTTGCCTTTCGACAACGGTCCAGGCAGGCTCTAAAAGAGACAAGCATGTTGCCAAAAAAAAGGAGTAGGTTCTTTTTAAAAGAATCTATCTCTATCTCTGTCTGCTGACTGCCTTTTTAAATGGCTGTTTCCGCTTCCGGTTCCGTTACGTTTGACTTGCCTGCACGTAAATTTTGTGCTATTTTGTGAAAGAAAATTCGGTTGTTCGGCTTGGCTTCCCCCCTCGACTTCACTCATGTCGGCGGTAAATTTTAGTACAATGCATATATAATCTTTTTCACTTATCTTTGCATAGTTTTCTTCTCCCGCGCCAGAACTTTTTACGGTCTGGGGTTAAAAGTAGTGTCGTACATTTGCCGAGCCAGCACCACGCCTCACCACTCGAGATTCGCACCGCGTTGAGAGCCATGTAATGAATGAAAAGTTGGCCGGGAGTTGGAAAAGGTTGCGGCTTCCATGGCTCCAGCAAAAGGTGCAAAGGCATCGCAATTTTTGCAGAATGGCTTGGTTTAGTTTTTGCACTTGTCGACAATCTCGTGACAGATTTATGGGTTAATTATTGTGAATGGTGCCGTGGGAACGTGAAATGGAAAGGAAATGTAGTGAGCAGGTTAAAAATGAAATCAAATTTGTTAGATTATAGCACTGAAATAGTAGTCAGACAAGTATTCAACACAGGATTCAAAATGTTATCGAAAAATGTATAAATCTAAAAATGTTTAAAAATGTGATTCTGTTTAATGGTAAGAGGCCGTCATTTTAAACGGATAAACTAGATAAAAAACTTAGCCCTTCATAGTATAACGGATATCAGAGGAATACAATCAAGAAATGGACAACAAACACTCATCCAAAACCGCAATATACCAAGAAGCCTTCGATTTCCAGCCCGACATCAAGCTGCCCCAGTTGACTCCGAAAGACAGCGATCAGAATGGCTACGATGTGTTCATGGGTTTCGTGGCACTAAGCGCCAGTCTGGGAAACTTTTATCACCATGTGCCAAAGACGATGAAATTTTTGGCCGAAAACGGAACACATCAGCGTGACCCTTGCGAGCTGGTCCTGTTGAACAATTTTCGCAAGGTGTTCGACCACCACAACAATGACCCAGACGAGAAGACGAGGACATTTCATGAGGCCCGGGGCGAATTTTTTATGATTCTTTACCATCTACTGATGGTTGACACTCAGCTAGAGGATAAACAGTCATTTATGCCATTTATGGAATTGTGCTATGAGCTAATCGGTTCCGATCGTCAGAAGAACCTAAAGGAGCACGTTAATTGTTTGCTTGTCCAGGTCAAAAATGTTGTGCATTCTTTTATAGATAAGTATTTAGACTCTAAAATTGAGAGTGTCCGTAATCTGCACGCCGATAAAAAAAGCCTTTCGCTTCAATTAGGAGGCCTAAGTATTAAGAAAGGCATTGGCGTTGTCCATAATCGAAGGCTAACAACAGCCGCTGAGTTGCGGCCAGAGGAAATAAATTTAAATTTGATAAGCCATTTTTCGGATAAATTAGCTATAACCCAAAAAAGTTATTTAGATTCTGAAATAATTCCAAAGGAAAAAGAGTCTTCGTCCAGATCGTCGCCAGACATTTCCAGACAGGATGAAGCAACCTCGGCTGAAGATATTTTTGAGGACTTTCGTGGAAGTAACTTCATCTGTGATTCTAAGGAACCTTTTCATGACTTCAATACTAAGAACGTATCTGAAGACAGTTCTTCTAATGGTTTCGAAAAGGATTTTTTAGTAAGTTCCGTTATAAATATTTGTCAAAAAGCTTCAAGGGAATCTGAAGTATTGGAGACACCTAAGCCTTTGCAAATGGTTCGAAGAAAATATTTTTCCCAGGTATTAGGACCATTTGCCACGAGCTCAGAAGATGATGATCCTCCTTTGCTCGACTTCAGTCCAAAAGATTCGATAGAATCTTTGAACAATATTGATATTAACTCCAAAAAAGAGGTATTTAGTGATTTGGAAAGTAGTTCTGAGAAAAATGTAAAAATTAATCAGCCTCAGCTACCTCAGCCATTAAGTGATGAGTCCTCAATAATAAGTTCAAGCCTAGAAAAGGAATTAAAAGAATCGTCCAATATGATTCAGGAGGCAAAGGACAATCATAAAAATGAGTCACCAAAACAATCTAGGTTGGTGAAGGAAAATATGATGTCTGAAGAAAGTGAATCGCAATTACCATCATTCATAGAAAAACTTAAAACTCTTGGCGACATTACAGCTTCGATTGCTTATCCAAATACTAATGTCAAATGTTTAAGTGATTGTCCAGTGTCCCTTAAAAAGTCTGATGAGGAAATAATATCAAGTATCAAGGTTAAAGAAAATGTATCCCATGATAGTACTATTCAGGGAAATCTAAAAAAATACAGAACTTGTTTTCCGATTTCAGCAATATAATCGAAACCATGAAAGATGGATCTGAAAGTACCGATTTAAAAATGCATAAGGTTACCCCAACATCTTCTTCATTCAATGGAAGTGTAGAGTCTCCTATAATCGGGCGTAAAGATTATTTAAATTATGAAACTCCTCATTTGGAATTATATGAAAAGAATTCTTCAAGATCATCTTTGAGTAATGAAATTGGTTGTGAAAAACATTTATGTGACGAGCGGAACGACGATGATGAACCCCTCAACCCATTCTTAGGTAAAATTAGCCAAACTTTGAGTGAGTCTAGATTGAATGTTTTAAAGGAAGTGGACAAGTCTTTGACGGAACTCCAAAAAAAGAGTTTGTTACCCAAATCATATATTGAAGAAAAAAATGGTTCTTTGCAAGTGGCTGAAATAAAGAACGACTCGCCAATAGTAGAAATATATAAAAGCTTAAAGCCAAGGAACTCACATGACGATTTGGAAAAGCCTACAAATGAAACTTGTAATAAGCATTCGTCTCGTGAAATTTTAAATAATATTAAACAGACAGCCAGTGATATCAAGCTTAATATTTTGAAGACAATGGATAAATCTTTGTTGGCGTTAACGTCATCTAGTGAAATATCTGAAAAATTCCCAAAACTTTCCAAAACCGCCATGGGTTAAAACAAGTATAATGAAAGTGTCAGAGGAGGTATCAACCAAAACTACAATGGATGTTTTAGAGGATAATTGTGTAACGTCTAATAAAGATGAACAGATGGAAGATTGCAATCAGATGAACAAACTAACTACTGCGCCAGACAAAGAAACAGGTTCATGTTCAGAAATTTCTGAGAACGAAATTGTTTCAGATTCCCAGGAAATAAATTCGGAGTCAGATAGAAAATCAGAAAATTTTCTCAAATGGCAGCATCAACGCCATGTAATTGCAGCTCCTCAGGTGATCGTTAAACTCTTGAAATCGAAATCCACCCCTGAGAGGTCTCGGCAGGATGGAAATGAATTGAGTTTCTTCGAACAATTGGATCAGTTCTTCGAGATAATGAACATGGAGAACTGTAGCCTAACCTCGGAAATAAATTTGGCAACAATCCAAGGCAGACTGGGAAAATTTCTTAGTCGAATCAAAAGGCAGTTACCCAATGTACTGAATCACTCCGATTTGGTGGCAGCGGTGGCGAAGTACCAACTGAAGAACCTGCTAACCAGGCAGGAGAGATTCTCGTACGAGGCAGTGAGGTTGCAACTGAGAGATAAGGACTTAGATGGCAAGACCAAATTCGAGGCAGCTCTTTACGGAATGTTGGGCTACGAATCGCCTCTTCTAAAAGCCACCGATGGTAGGTTGCAGATGCGTCTGCCGCACCACCAGGAAAACATCGGTGAGTCGTATTTGATGGTGGCATTCGGCCACTTAGGATATCTCTACCGGTCGCTTCAGGAACATGTTGAGCGACTAGGCCGAAAAGGAGACATTGCAAATGCCGTCAGAAAATGTCTCCAGAAGGAACTTTTGAGCTTCTATGAGTTGTACAATCTGCGTAAAAATCAGCCATGCAGTTTACTTCAGTTGTACAGGGAAACGCGGGTCTTTCAGTGGCGATTTCAATGGCTTCTTCATGTGCTACAAAAATTTATTAATGAAAAGTCTATTATCGTGTGCTTGATTGAGGAGTTGGATAATAGAGTCGGGGCGCAAAGGTTACTAATCCAAAATTGGCTCAACTCAGCCAGCAAGCCTCTGGTTGCCAAACTTTGTCGCTGGCTTATTTCTGACCACCTAACACCTTTGGATCGACATGAGCTTCCTATCGAACGATGCATAACATCGAATAATAATGATTTTTGGCAAAATCGCTATATGGTGACTGACACCTTTTCAAAAGTTTTCTATTCAAAGCTCTTAGAAATGATCCTAAGCATTGGCAAGACTCAGGTGTACTCTCAAAAGTATCTGGGTCTTCCGGTAGAAATCTCTTGCAATATCAAAGATCTGAATTACAAAATGCGTGATGCTTTTACCCAGTTCTACGAGGACAAAGACCAGGAACCTCTATATAAACTACTTTGCAAGCTGCACTTGAAAGTGTCGGGCCGTGTGCTGGCACATTTTTATCAGAAGAAAATCGAGCCTGAGAACTTATTTCAAAATCTTCATCACTACCTAATGCTCGCTGACCACCGCTATTGCAGAGAACTTATCGACATTATGGAGCCCGTCCTTGAGGAACCAGCCAATTCGTATAATGCCGAACTGTTGAACCAGATGGTGGAGCAAATGCCAAGCAAGCCATTGCCAGATCTCTATGTGGCCGAGGCCCCAGGTTCCGGCTCGAAGTGCTGGTCACGGTTCCTTCTTCAATGGCGGTTTCCACCTTACTGGATAGCTCTTCTGGGGAAGGAAACCGAAGAGTACGATATGATTTTTATGGGACTGTGGAAATTCCACTACACCAACTATGTATTCCGCGAAAGGATTGCGCGCCAGCAATATCATTTCAGCAAAAGATTGGAACTCAAATGCTTCAATGGTGTGGCTGAGGTCGATTTGGGCTTTGCCCACCTAATAAAGTACATAGCAGGGGTGATGAAAGTATTGAGAAGCTATTTCCTTGACGAAGTACTGGAGCAGGCTTATGTCAAGCTTCTTAACGACTGTAAGGGGGCCAAGACTCTTGATGATCTTCTGAAGGCAAACCGAGTCTATCTGCAGGATATTAAGGATGGCTGGTTCCAAACTCAAATTTCACAAATGGCTATTCATCAGTTGGAGAGGATCTTTAGCCTTATTATCGATTTGGAGAACCAGCAACACAAGTTTGTCCGTCTATCCCAAATTCTCCTAGACTCTCTGAAAGAAGATCGCGAAAAAAACGAATCCAAATCAGTTAGGTCCCATAGAAATCGAATGCAAGAGTTTTACTGGTCGTGTCAAAATACCTGCGAAGCTCTGAATGTGCTGGAACAACGTTTTCATTTGGCAATGATAGATTTTCTCATCAGCTTGCACCAAGCAAATCGTGAGTCGTTCCGCTTGCTGGCTAAAAAATTAGACTCCGTAGGCTACTATGAGAAAAGAAATGAAAAGTTGTGGCTCATACAACGCTTTGCATATAAAAGGAAGGCAAAGATGCTAAAATCCGATGGCTCTACTTTGCAACAAACACTCTGACTACTAAATACATTTTGTATATTTTTTTACCAACAAGTATGTGTAAATATATGTAGTAATTTACATAAAGTTCGACATTGTTGTTTTGTTCAATATTATTTTTGTGACGAAAGTCAAAAGAAGAAGATATATTTCTTTACATCCACTGTAAGCTAAAGTGATAATTCATTTAGCTGGGGAAAGATGGTTTCTAAGCTCTTTTTTGACTCTTTGTCTATATATAAATTGGATTTTAATTGAAAATTAAGAATCGACTTGGCAATGTTTTCATTGTGCAGCTTTGGAGCTGCCTTTTGTTATGCAAATGTTCTTTATTTTGTGGTCCCGTGTGAATAGGAGCCGAATGGGAGGGACAATCCGGACTACGACGACGACGAGGACGACAGTAAGCTGTTTTAAATTAAAGAAAATAATGGAAAATTTACTTTTTGGCTTACGCTGCGGATAGACAACCCTCTCCATGGCACTGCCACTTCTAATTGCTTGGCGCAAATTAAATGAAATTTTGATTTTCACTTTTCATATTTTTATTAACAACTTATGCTAACACTTTCGCAACAGCTCTCATCTGCATAACTTCGTTCGTTCTCTGAAAACTCGCACTGCGATATCTTTCAGCTGGAATCTCTGCCAGAAAAGTGAACAATGGGCCAAGGATGGCCCAGTCTTGGGCTCTTTGTTATCTGACAAACCCAGCTGGCAGTCATCTCGGAAAGTCTTTCACATATCAGCGACTGAGCTGGATGAATTATAAAGCCAGACCGGCTTCAAAAAAGAATGTCAAGAAGATAATTGAGCCCAGGCAGCAGGCATTTAATAAACTTGATTGGAACGACACGGAGGAGTGTCACTCCGGGGAAGGTTGACAAGGTCTTGACGTGCTGACTCCTTTGAGAATAAGTTAACCGGCTGACTTGCTCGGCTGCTGATAGGCCAAATTAATTTCAAAGGAAATTTTTCTTTCTGCGAAGCGTTTTTTTAGGACATGTGAACCATTTTTCCACTTGGGAGTGTTGGTCGGGAAAATCTGAAATAATTTTGTTGGTATTTTTGAATTTTATGGATTCAATTATGTTGTTTGCTTTCCTTGGAAAACCACCATATCAATGAGAACAATAATTTTTGCCCACCAATATAATTGTTTGCCGTGTCAAATTAAACTATAAAATTTATTATTATGTCCGTTGACATACTTGAACTGTGCTAGGCAATAAATTCCAATACAAAGTGGCCGTTTCGGCTCGTATTTCTCCACCCAACGATATTGACAATTTGCTGTCAGTTTTTCTCGCCCAAACGCCGTACAATTTATGTGGCTGGGGCTAGGGCTTTATGAAATACTTCTCATTACAGCGCCAAGGGGAGGGAAGTCAATGGCCACCGAGATGGCTGGAACATATTTGAACTATTTTCATTTCGATTGCCAACGGTTTGGCGCAGAGAAATCAATTGAATTGCCATTTCACATATGAAATGGTCATTTGTCAATGAACAACAATTGGAGGGCGTGGTCGCAGATGGCTTGAACTGCTGTGGTGGTATGGGCTGGAGCCGGAGATGGGATGACCGCTGCACAGTTGTGTGGTCACTCAAAATAGCCGCATAAATATGTCCTTCTCGTCCTGGCCGAGGACGACGATCTGCTGGCACTTTGCTCCTCCCACCAGCTAAATTGTTGGTCGTTATTAAATTTCCGCTGCGTTGAGTTCTCATTTCCGTTTCAATGGTCATTGCAGCTGCCCGTCGTTCAATGGCCAAAGGATGCTTTCACGGGACATAGATATACACCCACAGCCACACACATGCCCATACAAATCGACGTGCATTGTATAAATATTTTCGGTCCTAACTTTATAAACAAAAGGGGTTACCACACAAAAAGCCCCCGCAGTCGCACTCGGCCCACGTGGCGTATGCGTAATATTCGATTATTATTTTTATTATCGTTTCCCAGAGCCTATACAATAATCCTCATTTATCCAGTATTTGTGGCGATCAAAAATTGATTCTACAATTGAAATGTTGTTGCGTTTGAAACATATACACGAACAAATAAATGGGCTTGGCTTTTTAGCTAAATTGAAACTAATTGAAATATGTGGATGCCGCAAGCCGATGAGAGGGAGAAGTGGGCCAAACTTTTGCCATAAATTTCAATGGGAGGGCATTTTTGGTATTTGGCTCCCCTTATCTCGGTTATAGTTCTCTTTCCTGTTTAATGTTTTACTTTTACGCCATCGGGCCGTGACCTTATTTATTGTTTTGTTGTCACAGCTTTCTATTATATTTTATTTTGGTTTTCTTTAGTGTTACTCGAGCTTCTTGTAATTATGTCTTGTTTTCCAAGCGTTTTCCATTTTCTTCACAAACTTTCACTGGCATATGGAGTTTGTAGAAACTTTTTCATCAAATTGGTTGCTAGAAATTAACTTGCCCGTTTAATTAGCCGAAAAATGCTTTAACGGCATTATGCCCCTAAAACCCATTAAATATTATGGTTTTTAATGAAAATATAATGCAATGCCCATCAAAGAACTCCCCTACTTCTGTCCCATGGGTCTCTTTTATTTTTGGCTTTTCTTTTGTGGCCGCAGCTCCTTGGCCGCAACGAAAAAAAAAACTGAAAACAAATAAATAACAAAATTATTCAAAATTATGGGCGACTCGTTGTAACTCTCCTCATGGCCCCCAGTCTTAACCCTTGTGCTCCGTTTCATTTTCCGCCTTTTTGGCCGTACTCATCCGAGTTTTTTATTAAACCCACACCATCATCCACCGCCGGCACAAAGGAAAATCTTAGAAAATGCATTAAAAAGGCGCTAAGTAAATATTAAAATTCAGCCAGACAACGGCGTGCGAGTGAAAGCGAGATTTTAACCCATTTTATTATTATTACTATTGTTATTGCCCCGACTAAATAGAACTGGCTAATGGCCTTAGCCGTCGGACAATGTGGTCCAGTGGTCCTGGTTGTTTATTTACGCCGTCCGCTAATGGACAGCGCGGAATTGCTAAAAGAGTTTCCTTCGGTTGATATTATTTATTGCGCCAGGCGATGACGACGAGGCCGAGAACAAAGGATGTAATATTTATTCATTTATTTATTGATTTATGGCAGGGCATTTAAATCAAAATCCAGGCAAGAATGCTGAACATTTTATCAATTTGATATGCCTATTTATTATGATGTTTGTACTTTTCACCGCTTGAGTCGCTCCCACCCAGTCGGCTTCATGAAATTTATGCCTCCACTGACCACAAAAGATTCATCTTCATTTCGTCTGTCCATGCACACCCCTCCGGGCCGGCCACCCATCCACGCCCATGCTTGATTAGTTGATGACACTTTGGGCGGGAGCGAACGAACTCGGCTCTAACAATGTGTAGTTTTCCCATCCACAACTTGGCCTGTGGTGTTTGTGGCTAATTTGATAAATACGCGCGCGTTTATTCAAATCAATCAGCGTCAGAAGCCACCACGGGTGGCTTGGGTTGAAGACAAAGGAGGCGAAGCCTTATCCAGTCGAGAGGACAAGTCATTGGCATCGTCTTCGCATCGCCTCCCATCGCTTCAGATTATCTTCTCTCCTTCAGGATGCACACATCTTGTGGCATATAAATTTCAGCTGCTTCCACATGCACATCGGGCTATAGACACACACGCACAGGCACACATCGCTCTTCGGAGATTTCATTAATGTGCGGTTAACTATAATGAGCCTGGTAGATGGAAGCACACCACGGGGAGGTCCTTTGGTTAAGCTGAGCTAACTGAAATCTTTTGGCGAAGGCGATGGGGCAATTTATTTGAACGGAAATTCAAATTATCTCAGGCCTTTTGTGTCTGATTAAAATAAGATATTTCTATTTAATGTAAGAAAATATTGAACACAGCTATAAAGTTTCTTCTGTAAATTAACTTTATCCCTCCACATTTGCCAGTTCATTTAAAAAGCATATGGTGTGAAACAATTTTGCGGTGATATTCCCATAATTCACAATTGAAAATGACACTGCTCTTAAATCACATTAGTCCAAGGATTCCGCTCTAGAAGGGAAAGCTTGATGCTCATTTTCCTAATGATTTCACGAGTCTTGAAAGTCAAGAATATATGTGTAGTTTTGCAACCTGAGCTTTGGGTATTTACCTACTGGAGGGTGGACAATCAGCATAAACTCCAAATGCAATCAAAATGTTGAAATAAACTTAACAAATCCCCCGTAAAGTTTTCTACTTTTTTTTGTACAGCACATTTTCTCCACCTGTCAGCGGGAGAAATTTTGTGGGTAGTGTTTAGTCCTTCCACGGTTGACTTCTGCTTCACGAATTTTACTCCATTCCCGCCCAAAAAAGGGGTTGCAGAAGCTTAGAGCTTGTGGCTGCGTATACGTTGCGTATACGTAATAAATTTCGCAATTGCCAGAGGAAAACTGTCCGCAAAAGTGTAATTGTAATGTTTGCTTTCGCCCTCTGTGTTTCGCTGTATCTTGGTTTATAGTTGGATTTTCTTGTATTTGCCAAGCGCTTGGCTAGCGGACTTGGAAATGCCGGTGAGGACAGCTCCTTAATCTATTTTACGCAATTTTTATAAAAAGAAGTATGCATTAAAATGCACATATGACTGGCAGTTTTATTTGGTAAGAGGGTGCAGAGCTGTTTCAGGTGTCCTTAATTTTAATGAAATAAGTATAAACTATTTGGAATGTCTGGGTGCAAAAAAGAATTGCATTTCTTCAACCATTTCTCGCTGAAGTCCCGTTCGATTGTCTAATAAATGTCAGACTTACATTTTGACGTATAATATTAAATTTCACGCACTCAACGACATTCCCGCCACTTATTCCCAAGAAAAAAGCTCATTTAAAAAAATTCCTTCAATGATAAAAGGACTAAATTGTTTGTCAGGCGATTCATTAGGCGATGAAAAAAGTTCCATTTGAATCTGACATGCAAGAGTGTCAAATTACATTAATTTGGATTCTTTCTTGAGGAGTCAAGGCCTTTTGCCACTCTGACAACCGAAATCTAATAATGTAAGGATTTAAAAACTTTAAAAGTGCCATCATCC